CAAATGATTATTAGTTCCTTATATACCGTTCGGGAATGGATTTGTTACACGTGGCGTCACTTATAGACATGTTTCCTCCTTATCTTATCATTGTAACTTGTCAAGCCTGACACGCGCAACAAGTGAACTTTCATCAGCAGCAGTTCGTGGTCTTTCCTCTAGATTATTCAGGAACGGAAATATGTAACGGTTTTAACCCCCTGATATGTCATGGAACTCGCATTAGTAACGTCCTATTGGCCGACTTAAATCTTGATAGCATGTAGAAGACTATAGCTAAAGAACTTCCTATGTTTTGTTAGTGAATTTCATTAAAAGGATAAAAGGAATAAAGCTCCCGGCGTTGATCAATCCCTGAAGGATGCGCCATGCATTCGACTTTATCAAGGATCGTTGGAGGTGATTGAATGCATATATGGCCTTTACAATGACTTCGGTGGCCTACCGATGTATCGAGTCAGTGCTGCTATCCTTCCAGACACGTCTGGTACCCATTTGCCGACCCAGGAGGGATGGATTGCTTGGTGGGCCAGAGGCGAGGCAATCCATCCCATGTGTATTGCAGGGCGCCTCCGACCACTGCGCCACGCGCCCCTATCTTCGTTATATACATATATATTGCGTACTACTTATAAATTGTAGACGGCAAATTAGATGTAAAACAACAATGCAATAAGACTTGACAGCTATTTCTAAAGACGGACTGTGATGAATCCCAATGATGAGCGCATATTCAGTGAACTCTAATCATTCTGAAGAAGACTTTTCGATGATCGTATCACCGTATTATCACAGTGAAAAGTTCTCACTAAGTGTCGAATCCCACTGTTCAAGCGGAGGCAGCTCTCCGCCTCTTCACTACTAATAATCGCTATGGTGCATACTCTCAACAACAAGAAGAGTTCCTTGCCGCCGAATGATCTCGTCCAAAAGGAGATTTTTGCAGATTACTCAGTTTTTAAAACAAAACAACTTTCTACGAATCACACCCATTCGACGAACTGTTGGTAGAATACAAAAATTTTGGTAAAAAAAGCATCTCCAAGCCGCTGAAGAGCGGTGAACCCAGAGCGTTCCTGGGAGCGAAAGGAACTGACCAGATTGCAATCAACTTGACCTTTCTAGGTTTTGAGGAATGCGAAATCCAGCAGAATGTCAACTTTTTAAAATAAAGGCTGTTGTGACAGCGAATTATTCCATCAAGGTTAATAGATAGTCGGTTTTGGGTATTGCTGCCAACGTATTTCAGAGAAGGCAATGTAACTCAGAGCACTGATTAAATCTCGTAAATTTGGCAGTTTCTTCTGGTCCTCTGTGCGGTTACGTACTATTGCGTTGAGTAACGCCTTCATGAGTGCTGAAATAAAGCTGGTGTTCTTTTTACTACGACATGGAGTGGTGATCGATTGTCAAACTGCTGCAAAACCCGGACAAGAAATTTTTGAGCAGATCAAAAAAGAAACCACTTTCTAGGTTTAAGGAGCTAAAAAGACGATTTTCTCTCAAAAATAGGTACCATTACCTGTTCGTTTGTGAAAGTTCCTACTAATATATTGCGAAATCTTGTAGATTGACTATTTTCCTAGCCAATAGAAGGATAAAGGATAAAGCTCTCCTCGTTGATCAATCGTTGAGGGAAGCGCCATGCATTCGACTTCATTAAGAATCGTTGGAGGTGACTGGATGCATATCTGGTCTTTACAATAACTCGTGGTGGTCTACCGATGTATCAAGCCAGTGCTGCTGTCTGCCAGGACGAGTCTGGAACCAACTTACCAACCTCGGAGGGATGAAGGATTTTCTGGACGAAGGCGCGAGGGTCCGTCCCATGTGTATTTCAGGGCGTCTCCGACCACTGCGCCACACGCGCTCTTTCCTAGCCCATACTAGGTTATATTAGGTTTCGGCACCCTTTATGGAGTTGTCACAGTATTCTTTTTCATACGCGACCTGATCCCGTATGTTTGCATCGATTTTTGATGTGGGATGGTGCAGTCGTCAACCACATGCGACTATAATCAACTGTTCTAAACTTCCTCATTGGAAATCACGTAAAAGCGGTGGGTTTTTCGAGAAGCTGTTGATCATGTAATTACCAAAGAGTCTTTCGTCTTTTTGTAAGTGTCATTGAAGCGTTTGGCCTAGTAGATTGTATATCAGTATACCCTTCCAGGCTCTGAAGAGGGCGATTCTGCCGAAACGTCAGCTAGCGTTGTATTGTATTGTATTTTTCTATGGAAGTAAATGTATGCTGTTTAAAAACCTCGTGATTGCTGAACAAGAAAACTACGCATTCATATTCCAATGCCGAGGTTAATAGAAAGTCGATCCTGGGAACTATTACAAGATGTACCAGCAAAATACTTTCGACTTGTGAAGGAAGCATTGTCACTAAGACAGAAGATCGTCTTAGCTAGACAGCAAATCAACTTCCTCCGCCGCTGTTTTCAACATCGAGTCGTGCCGAAGTTTATAAAACGAAAGCGACTTCACGAGATATGCGGTCAACCAGAGGGCAGCCAACAAATACGAGGCATCGAAATGGAACTACTTCGAGCTGCACTACGAAGCAAGCAGAACGAGATGTTTGCCAGAATGAAGAAGTGTGCAACGAAGGGACATTTTTGTGCTTTGTATTTGGAGGATCGCCTTTGGGGGAGGATAGTTGGTGGGTCAATATTGATATGCGATTTTATTAGATCTAATGCCAAAATAACCCTACAACGAAAATTCGAAAATCTTTCGAGTAATTCACATGCCTCAGCTCCAAGAAACAACCGCAAACGAATTCCTTACGCTTCTGGTAATAGTCAAAATAAGGTTGATAATGCACCGAGAAAATCTAGGGTCACCGTGATTGGGGGCATAGCAATACCTGAGAATGCTCGCTCGCCATTAGAATTGGGCCCAAGTTTTGCACCATCACAGTCCATTTCTAAAACGACTCCGCGCAGGATAGCATGCAGCCTTTATGAGCTTCAAGATCGACTCCGCTATCAGGCCAAGCAAGAAACATCAAATAGAGATAAAAATCAAGAGACGGCGACACTACCACCAGGGTGGCGAGACAGAACTCATCCTCTCGGGTCGAGTTTAATAGGCGACTTCAACAAATATAAATTTGGAAATTTGGTTTTTCTTGAAAAACTGTCAAAGCTACCTTTAAGGATACAATGGCGTTTTATACGTCGATCTCGGGATCCTTCTTCTTTTCCGGTTGAGTGTCATCTGAAATCCTATAGCACGTCATGATGCGGACGTAAAAATATGCTTTACACTTTGTTGCAGCCAAATTAATTACTCTTATACGCAGTGAACAAAAATAGGTGTCACAGCTAAGAATATGATTTACTTCTTTTGCTTGTCAAAGTTTAATAGACGCAAAGTATGTGGAATTTGAAGAATATTAGACATCTCACACAACAGTGACGATATTCGTTGACTTTAACACACATGTTAGCAGAGCGAAGACTCCAAGCTATGAAGTGATTTCAATTCATTTGCATCCTCGCTGTTTCTTTCTGCAGATAAACTTTCCATGGAGTACTGTTTGCATTAAACTGATAGGCTCCCTATTTATTGTGCTGGGTGGAACAACATCTTTGGAGAAAGACTAGGCTATACACACACGATTTCCAAAAAAAGCTTTTGCGTGGAATTTCTCAGTCTGCATCACGAGCCCAGCAGCCATCCATTTTGTGTAACAGAGTAACGAATAGACCAAAGAGAGATATCTGAAGTGTGTGCCACCATGAACGTGCTACCCCTTTCGTGAGCACGTCTAATTTCCCGATACAAATGCACAGGACCATTCTTAAATTTTGGCTGCTATGAGTGCATTAATTTTTCGACAGTAGACGATAATTTTCTGATAACTTGAAGAACTGAGGTGCTGTGAATACGAGAGAATTGTAGAAGTGAACTTGCTCTATCGCTCTATGGGTGTGAATGGTGGTCACGTTGTTATTTATTAGATGTTGTTATTGTCCGGCATATAAACATATCGTTTCCAGCATCTGGAAATATCTCGCAACTTGTGCTGTTTCTGCTCCAGAACTTTTTATACTCACTCACTCTATATGATAACCACGATTCAACATAGTTCTTGCAATTGGAATAATAGTCTACTGCTACCCAAATTCCATGCGCGGACTTACTCGAGGAAGTTCTTCTTTCTGTACATTTTAATGTCCTTTTAAGTGCAGAATAAAGCGCTTCTCGAACCAGTGCCTAATACACCTTTGTTAGCTATCGATTGACTACAAATAGTCTGGTGAAAGAGAACTCTTTAAGGAAGAAAAGTGTACGAATCGAAATGAATGTGTATAGGACGTACAGTCCGATAACGTACATATTGAAATCAATGCGCATAGTCACGAAAGGATCGAAGCACACAAAATAGCCAGAAATTTCGCTAAGAAACGGAACAAACCTGCATACACATACGAAAAGATTGGATGCTCGAATCTGCTTTCCACTAACATAACTTCTTATGAAACGCAAAATGGAAAAATATTTGCAAAAGAACGTGCTGCTGATGAAATAATGACATTAAAGGGTTTTAGTGAACTGAATAAGCATTATTATCCTATACTCTTCATATGTACGTTACTGGAAGCCGCAGCCAATGAAATCTATTGCAGATATAATTAGAAGCAAACAATTTGCCCAGCAAATGGTTCCCTTCGTTATTACAGCAGGCCGGAACATAGTAGACCATGGTGGTTGCGGGGAAGAATAAAGCACCATGAAACTCTTTCTGATTTCGGGAACGACTTGACAGAACCTTTTTGGAGTCCTCCATTTCAAACCAACACATCAGAAAGTAGGAAATGGATCAAAATCAAAAAGTAGGCTTTTCGCACGGAACAAAAAGTATCATAGGAGTAATGGTGATGAAAGAAACTAAAATAGAAAAATAGCAATAACAAGACAACACTAAATTACATATCTATTTCGGCCCTGCGCATAGGTTTTGAAGCACGACCCTCCTCTCACAATCATTTCGTTTGCTCAGTTGCGTTCTTCTTGTGCTCTGGAACTTTGTACTGTTCAACGTGATCCACTCGCATTACTCGCTTGAGCAGAGCTACAAAACGAACGACATTATGAAGTGGTTTTGATTCGAACACAGTCCGTCCACTCACAGTTATAGCATTGAACTTGTCAACGGCTAGCACGATACTTCTTTGGTCTTGATAGCACAAGAAACAAAACCCTCTGGATTTTCCAGTGTCGGCATGATTCAGTAGGTTGATATTAATCACTTCACCGAACCTATAACGCAACGATTACTCGAACAATAGAAAGAGAACAGTAGAAGGACAACGTGCAAAGTTCTCAGCAAAAGTGTAAACCAAGGTAGAACACTGAAAAACTGATTGCGAAAAGACGGTGATCATGTCACCTTCTTTTAGGTCACACGGCAGTCCTCCGTTGTAGATCCACGCAAAATCCTAATATGGTCTCTGGTGCCAGCATTTCCTTAAGTCACCAGCAATACCCAATTTGAGCTTTCTTTCATTCAGCTTGTTTTGATTCCTGATGTTCGTTGGTGGATTCATGACCTAAATCACTCGTTATAAGCCGTCCACTTGTGCGACAGTTAGGGAAATACTTTAGTGATAACGAGCCATTCCGGAACAGAGGACGAAACATGTATTAAAATAGAAAGATGACCAAACAAGAACCATTTAATAGCAACATATATGACCGATATCCAGGAAAGCTTGCCAAAGAAAAACCTGTTGATTTGCGCCATTCCAGACAGGATAAGAAGAAACTAAAGCGGCCAAGGTGGACGACATATTACCATTCATCGAAAATAATGGTTGGGTTCCAGAATCGGCACTAAGGAAATTTGCAACATCCTGAGGTGAAGACCAACAAGCCTCAGTCGAAACCGCTGACATGAGAAGCCAAGCTCGGTCGGTGATCACAGAACGGTGTAGAAGCCCATCTTTTCCACTAACTTTGCAGGCACACAAAAACGCCACAAAAGCAAAATAGACATATTTAATTAACTAGTAAGTTGAAATTAAAAGTGCCACCACATCTAAGAAGTACCATGAAGCATTTCGAAAGAAAATATTCTAAGAATACAGTAAGAAACATTGCCGATGAGCAACGTTGTCCATGTGTAATTGAACACTTTGTGCTACCATTTCTACCTTTAGCTATCGTTGCGAAATCTTAATAGCTCTGCCTAAATGCTTATGGATTGTAAAAGAAAGCACGCGTCACGGATCAGAGAAGGTTCCGATGAGAAATAAAGCTCGTTTTTATGCCAGAGAACGTTCCAACATGCCTACTTCCGTATGAGAATTTTAGAATGGCCAATTAGCATATATAAACCTGGCCTAGAATCAATCAGGTGGGATTGACTGACGCATTTTCCCTCTAGAATATCTCGCGCTACCTCTTCTAAGCCCATTTCACGAAAGTGGTCCCCTAAAACTTATCATAACTAGTGATATCTCGATCGAAACAAAGCTATACCGCTCACCAAGCTGTGCTCGCTTTAGTTTTCCGTGGAGCGTGCAGCTGCGTAACTTCAGTGATATCCATCGGTTCTCTTGCAGACTAAAGAAAAAGAGAAGGATTTCAGGAGAAACAAACTTGAGTAGAACTATTTGCTTTAACTCTTACTGTAGCGAACTGGCGCTCTTCTTCAGAATTAGTTCTAGTAGAGATATTATCAATAACTTTCTCGACCTTTCTGTTGATGTCTCTAAAATGATGAGGAATTACAGCAGGTTACGGTCACGGAAGACACAGTAGTAAAAGATGCCTTGCCAATACACGCAGCATCGCTGGCTCAACCCAGCGCCTCACCAATCACTCAAGGCTATTAATGAAGGAAGAATGGTCAAGAATTTAAACTGAGACAAGCTAGAATTAGTTTTAAAAACCTCTGAATGTTGTAGCTTCAAAGACACTTGAGCCACTGAAGTGTTGATTTTCTACCCTTCACAATTAGATTTTGCAAAATGACATTGAAAATTCCACGACCGACTTTCTATTAACCTCGGCATTGATCGAGTACTTGTTCGTATTTTTGTTGAGCAAACGCGAGGTGTTCTTATTCTTTATTCACGAATATCAATGCCGAGGTTAATAGAAAGTCGGTCGTGGGAGCTACTGCAACATGTACCAGCAAGATACTTCCGACTTGTAAAAGAAGCGCCGTAACTGAGACAAAAGATCGTCTTTACTCGACAATCAATACACTTTCTCCGTCGCTGTCTAAAACATCGGGTCGTTCCGAACTTCATCAAACGAAGACGACTACACGACGTATGCGGACTACCAGAGGACAGTCACCGAGTATTGGACATCGAATTGCGAATACTACGCACCTGTCTACGAAGCCGACAAAGCCGGATGTTCGCCGGATGGAGGAAGTGCGAGGCGAAGGAGAACTTTTGTGCTTGGTGTTTGGAGGACCGCTTCTGGAGGAGAATGATGGGCAGAGTTTCTTTGTTTGGCTATGGAGGCGTCTGGCTGAGTAGATTGCTATCAACTTGACCTTTCCTGGCTCTGAGGAAAGCGAAATCCGCCGAAACGCCAGCTTATTCGTGAATAAAGAATAATAACACCTCGCGTTTGCTCAACAAAAGTACGAAGGCATTGAAAATGTTGGAGAAAACCCTCTTAGCACGCTAAATCCTGTAATGTTCTTTAGAGCGCTATAAAAAGAGTTGCGAAAAACAGAATAGATGAAGCGTATACCTAAGCGGCTATGAAAGTGGGCAAAATACTTTTGCTGTCATTTGTACAAAATGAAGAGAAACATAGCAAACATAACTTCAATGATGCTGAGATATTTGCAAAGCTCCGGACCGCAGGTGTATGCGGTGGGGAACGAACACGCGCTGTTGTTCTTACCGGTGAGCAGCACACTTCACCACCACACCATTCCGGTCCTTCGTTTTGCTTGTCTCTCAGCTAGTTTTATCATTGAAGTTATATTTCACAATGTATACCCTGGTGTTAAAAAGAATAGGCAGTAAATAATACGTTAAATAGCAAACATAATTCAAAAGAGCGACTTTCCATAAACCTCGGCATAAATAGTTGATATATTTATTTATATGAGCTCCTAAACTGATCTTTTTGAGCCGATGCGAGGCTGGTAGATGTCTTCGTTATCATCGTCGTTGTTGTCGTTGCTGTTGGCGTTGTTGGTCGATAGCTGGCGTTTCCGCGATTTCGCCTTCCTCAGAAGAGCTTCCCAAACGATCAGCTTATAAGATCATATAAATAAATAGTACACAAATTTCACATTTGTGAACACTTTGAACGACTGTCGCATCTGATCACAAGGCATTCTTTTTTGGGCGTCACCACGATACCTGGCAATTACGCGACCTCTCTTCATCAGCAAAAAGCGTTACCAATCTGGAAGCCACTCGGTGAGGTACAGATACCTGTGATTTCCATATTTTATCAAATCGTAAAACATGTTCACATCATTTAAGTCCATCACCAAGCATATGCTAGATGATTTCCTTCCTACTTTTCCTCATCCTAAAACGTATAAATTACAAGCAATAAAACGGTGCAGTAAGGTGTTAGGATCACACGGGTTACGTAGAGGTTCGCTCCCTTGTCGTCTAGTTACTTTGTGACATTTTCCCAATAAACTATTACGGAAAAAAATCTTATATCTTTTAGTACAATAGCAGACCAGTATCGCTTCTTAACAAAGCCTCCCCCTCACCCCCAAATTTCCGAACCGTCTCGAATTACATCGACGAGTGCGTCTTCCAATGTGTAATCAAATAGCCATTGTTATTATCTGTAACGCATACAATCCATAAAACTTAACGATTTACCCACATTGATGCTAAGAAATTTGCAGAACAAAAGGCCACACATGTCTGCAGTGGGGAACGTACGCGCTTCTATCCCTTCCTGAGTCTAACGCGTCCACCACCACAGCATGCGGGTTCTTCGTTTCGCCTGTCTCTCAACTTAACGATTTAACTAAGATATATTTCCCAAACAAAAAAAATTAAAACGAACACCGAATACTTTAATAATTCATAAGGAAAACTTTCTACAAAAGCTATAGTTCGCAGAATCATTACGGAAAAAAGTGTTAAAACATGGAATGTAAAACTTTGACACGACTTAGGCACAGGTTATAGAGTGACAGAGAGTGAGAGATCTGTTCGGGAATCAAAAAATTAAGAGTAATGTAGGACAAGCAAAGCAGATTTCAACAGTAGAAAGCAGATTTTAACTGGAGAGATCACAGGGGCGTGTGAGGCGTCCCTTACGAGATCATGCAGCTGCTCTTACACTACGATCCTTTGGGACAAAATTGAGCCCAGTTAACAAAGTGAGATTAAGATTTGTCGCTAGCTAGTTATACAGCAGATGGAGAAAAAGAGACAATACCCTGCTGCTAAGAAAGGCTGGCTTCTTGTCACATAATTCGGATTGTCTAGAGGATCGTCAAACGGCATTTCATGAAAATACAAGGTTTGAATCCAGTTTAACCAAGCATATACCACTGATCCAAGACAGAATGATACCTTGACAGTTTCCTTGACGGAAGTTCGTTGAAGACAGTCAGATTCCTCAAAGAGGATATCACAAATGTGGAGCACCTCATTCTAGACTACGCATTTATTTCGACTATCCATACTATTCTATTAAAAATATCTCAATAGTATTAAAAACGCACTACGTAAACGTTCAACTCAGACATTTGCTTGACAATGTCCGACATCCAGGGGAAGCTTGTATGGATGTAAATGGACTAGGTAGCGAAAGCAAGTGTATCCAGGGTGCGCCCCATCATTTAGCAGAGCACTTCTTCGGGAAAAAAATGCGTATTTATAACGCATATTCCAAAAGTGACTGGATTCCTCGGGAGGTCAAACGTACTGCAGAAAGACCAGAGATCCGATGGTCAGAGTTCTTCACCAAGAGCCTAGAAGAAAGATGCGATGCTCGACGAGTCCCTTGAGCGAGCAGAACACACTGGGCTACTCTTGCACGCGACGAGGAAAAACGGAAGATTTACTGGCGCCCGCTCGAGTCACTCGACGATCAACGGGGACAACAGGTGATACAGGTAATTCCTAAAGTCTTACTGATGTTGCAACCTTTTTACTCGGGATATTTATTTGGCTTCAATTCTTCTTACAAATTCTACATATAGCATTCGAATTTCTTACGAATTCTTGATACAGCAGCTCTACCCTAATTTGCAAAGAATCGACCCTTCTTGCACAAAACTTCTAATGTGTACATATAATAAACCCTTCCTGAGTAGAATTCAAAACATTCACAATTGAAAACAAGGTACACTTCTGGAACAGAATCCATAATGACTATTAATAATCCCTTCTTAACCTTAACCGTTTTATTTACTGCCTACTCTTTTTGATGGCAGTATATATTGCGAAATATAACTTCAATGATGCTGAGATATTTGCAAAACTCCGGACCGCAGGTGTATGCGGTGAGGAACGAACGCGCTATTGTCCTTTCCGGGGAGTAACGCGTTCACCACCACACCATGCGGGTCCTTCGTTTCGCGTTTCTCTCAGCTAGTTCTATCGATTTCGGCCATCAGCAATCACCCGTCAGCGGGATTGATCTGAGGAGCCCAAATCGGTAATGATCCCAGTTAAGCTGAAGCCTTAGTTATAATCACAATCTTAACCGTTTCATTTTTATACATCTGCTGTCCGGTGTTTTGCAAATATCTCAGCATCTTTGAAATCCCTTCTAAGCTAAAATAATGTAAGATACACAACACCAACGAAGAGTTCAGATTACTTCCTTGATAACTCTACTTCCTTCACATGAACTACTTTTCGCATAACAACACTGATCAACATCAAAAGGATCAAAACAGGACGAAACCAGATGTTCGCCAAGTGGAAGAAGTAGGAGGCGGAGGAAAACTATTGCGCTCATTATTTGGAGGTCTGCCTCTGGAGGAGAATAGTGGATGGGTCAGTGTTGATTTGCAACTCTATTAGGCCTAATGCTAAAGTAACTTTGGGAGAAAATTCGAAGACCTTTTGAGTAAATCGCATAACACAGCTTCAATAGCGCACAGAAATCCCGCTAACGAACATCAAATAGGTTACAGTAGGATAAATAATGTGCAAGAAAATTCAAGACTAACCGTGTTAGGAGACATGACTCTCCCTGACGGTGCGCGCTCGTTATTAGAATTGGGACCGAGTTTCTCGCTATCTGAACCCATTTCTAAGGTAACCTTGCGTAGGGTCGCATGTGGTTTACACGAACTGCAATATAGACCCCGCAAAAAAAGAAAGAGATGAGACGCAAAATAGGTGCGAACAACACCAACTGGGGGCCCTACCAATAGCACCATTTCCTCAGCCGTTCTTTAGACAACAAGAGCCCAATGATGGTGTTTATGTTAATTTTCGGATGTTTACGAATGAAACTTTCAAAGTCTTTAATCACTATTGTGCGAAAAGATACAGCTCAAACCTCACTGAATTGCAAAAACGTGGTATGCGAGAGGTACGAGAGCTGATAAGGTTGAAAACCACAAGACTATCCGTTAGTGATAAGGGTGAAGAGTTTGTCGTAATTACCCATCAGTTAGATGTTGAGATGACGAAAAAGCATCTTAAAGATGCTTCACTTTATCGTCCATCATCTGAGAGGAAGTTCAAAAGCAGATGCCAAAAAATTGGACCACGATTAGGTTAAAGTGGCAAGGGCTGTTGGTTTAAAACCATCTGTTATCTCTCAACTAAAAGTTCGCCTCCCAACGTGTCCCGTCTTTTACTTACTTATGAAAACCCATAAGTTGGTATCCAGCGATGATCTTGTGTCTACCGATCCATCGTTATTTAAGGTCAGACCAATCATTAGCGGTGTACACAAGCCAACGTATTGGATAACGTGGTTTTTAACCCTAATATTTACCCAGTTGTTGAAACACATTCCAGCCCACCTCACGAATACCCAGATGTTTCTGAACCGTCTACGTACTCCGCAGCCCAACAGCGCGTACGTGATGGAGTCTTTCGACGTTACCGCTCTTTATACAAACGTGTCGAATGACCCCGCTATGCAAGCCATCGGTGAGCTGCTTGTACAACACGAAGGAGCAGTAAACATGTATGGCTTCTCGATTCAGCTGTTGATGAAACTCTTAAAAGAGTGCCTAAACTGCTCAATCTTCAGATGGTCCGGAAAGTACTACTCTCAAATGAGAAGGTTAGTAAGGCGACAGCGATTGGCACCAAGCCTTGCCATTGCATTTATGTCAAAGGTGGAAGCACCAGTGACCGATCTCGGGCCGTTACTCTACTATAGATATATAGATGACTGCTTTGTCATTTGCTCAACCCAAGAAAAAATGGACAAATGTTTTGAGTTACCGAATGAACAATCACAGTATATTAAGTTCACCCGACAGAAATCGATGGAAAACTGGTTTCCACTTCTGAACGTGCAAATCAACCTATCAGAAAATGGCTACATTACGAAATGGTACCGAAAGTCAAATAACAAAAACATATTTATTCATTACCTCTCCTCTTACCCTTCACACATAAATGGGCGCTTGTAGAAACATGTTTCGAATGGCAGCCAACGCGTGCACGGGAAGAAAGCAGAGAGAGGAGACCTGGATCTTGGCACGGCAGATAGCCATTTCGAATGGCTACGAAACTGTAGCTCGGGATAGGTGTAGGAAAAATCCTAGTCCCCCAAACGACAACTCTAGCGATAAAAAGGTTCCGCTTATCCTACCCTTCATTTCAAATAATCTCAGTGCAGCTATAAAACGCTGCTTAAGAGGAGGCGGGTTTAGAGAATTCGGTAAACGCAGTTCAAATGCCAACGAGTACTCTTAGGCGCCAGCTATGTCGTAAATGCCTATATGACCGTTTTTGCTGCACAAAATTGATATGCGCCCTAATGGTAAAAACGGTGATTGCATGAATTCGGGTACAGTTTATCTGATCTCCTGTAAGGCGTGGCGGAGACGAATACATTGGTGAAACCGGTAGACCACTCTGTGTCGGTATAAAAGAACACGTAGTCGTTAAACGTAAACCAAATACCTTACTAGGCACGCATAGGACCCAGAGACATAACGGAGAGGACTTTGAAGTTCGTGTCATAATCCTCGCACAGGAATCAAGAACGCAGGCGCGCAAAACTCTTGAGGCATTCTGGATTAATTCCAGAAATCCGAAAATGAACCGCAGGGAAGAATGCCTCATTATCACGCGTGATATTGGGGAGTATATAGGCCTATTGTTCTGATGGTATGGGCACATTACGCTTCCATGTGAATTCTGTGCGGTTGGTCCCCACGCAACCTACTAAGTGACTCATAAGAAGCGGTGAGTGGGCAAAGAAGCC